GGATCTGGTGGTCCTCTCCCAAAAAATTGGAGCATTCTTGATTTCCTCTTGATTTCCTGCATTCTGGAGACATTTTCTGCTCCAATTTATGGTGAAAATGTCTTTATTTACATAAAGGGAAACAAATAATTCAGCTGGCAGAAGATCATGCAGTAACCAGCTGATTTTCTTTAGCTTAAGATCATTTTTGTGGACACGAACATTTCTTTCTTTTATATTTAAATTTCATTCTATGTTTTCTTATTGTGCAAACAAAACATTTTCATTTGTTATTTTCAGAACGGTTTTACCAAATGCTTTCAAAAAGTGCTGGGGACACGGGGACAAACGGCACCTATGAGCCAGAGGAGCTGCGTCCTTGTCAGCAGTATTAAACTGAGCTTAAGTCTGAGTCAGAGAGTTGGGCTGGTTAACGTGTGAGGAGAATTTACTAAAACACATGTGTTTGCATGTATCATAATTAACTGTCATGTAACAATGTACTGTAATGCTTTCAGCCAACCTCAGCCAAGGTTTGTTTGAAATGCATACATTTTATAACCCTTTCACAAAAGTAGTTATTCCAGTCATTTGCAAAAATCATCTTTTATGAATTTGGGCCCCTGTCCCTACAACATCCCCTGCACGTCCCTGAATTTCACTGTATTTCAAGTACAGAAAAATAACTCCTGACACTATATTTAGCCAAGATCTGATCAGTGGTGTCGCAGGTACAGCCAATCGTATGGAGAAGAGTTGTTTCTCTGTTTGTTGCAACACGGAAGTATCCACATCAGAGCCCCATGTGTGAGAAAATACATTTATTTACACACAGCAGAGTGAGCAGACAGCAGGCTGAACATGTTACCGGCCTGACTGAATGCTCCACCTGAACAAACACATCGTGAACTGAACCATCCATCCCCGAAATCACAACCTGGCCCGAGCTCACACGCTCAGCAAGAATAAATATAGAAATGTTTCATTTCATCTTTGTAACGGAGGCTTTTGTAATAGTTTTGAATTGATAAACATTTAAACAAAAGCAGCTTTATTTTCTTAGTTGTGGAACTTGAGCCCCATTTTAACTGTGAAGTAGATCTGGAACTGTACAGAGCTGTAATATGCAGGTAGATGGTTGGAAGAATGAAAATGTCACATGTTCAAACAGGTGGAAAAAGTCTCTCTGGCATGTACAGTATATATTTCTGTGTACTTTCTACAGCTGCTGCATATTGTTCCAAACGTTTGCTGAATGTTTTCTCATTTGTTTTGTTGACAGACTGAATCTGAACCTATTGCACAGCACAGTATTAACACGAGTTACAGATGGGTTTCTGGATAACGTCATCAGGGAGATGCACATGCTGGTTAGGGGGGCCAGAAACAAATAAAAAGCTGACCAGGAGATAAACAAGTTGTTTTGGTGCCTTAAACTGTACAAATCACACAAATAATGGTCAGAAAATGTTCATTTTCCCAAGAAGGCTGAGAAGCTTCTCAGTCATCCAGCTCTGAGTTATTCAAAGAAGGTTAAAATGGGGGGTGGCGATGGTGCAATGGATAAGACTATGCCTTTGGTGTGAGACCTGGGTTCACATCCCCCACTGTGTCTTGCTTATCCCTCGTTGCTCAGAGGTGTGCGACCTCTGACAAGTGTAGCAATTATAAGTCACTTTGGATAAATGTAAAATCAAGGGTAACTGGACTTGAACACAAGAAGCCCCTCGGTAGAGAGGCGAAACGTCTTCAAATATCTTTAACCAAGTCCAACTTCCCTTGATTTTAACCTTCCTTGGTTGCCAAGAAGGAAACCTCCAGGCCAGGTCAAAGATCAAAGACTATGTGTTGAAAGTTGGATCGTTCAAAAGAGACCCTGGTGAGGATGTGAGGTAAAACAGCTGTTTGAATGACGTGTTGGTCAGGCTCTGTGATCAGTGCTTTGGTGATCAGCTTGACACGTGTAAATGGACGGAAAAGACAACACCTTGTTACGCTTGTAATGTTTCTGAGAAAAAAGTACATATAGTCTCTTTTCGTGATCCTGTGTGGCTGATTAATAATATCAATATATTATATAATATTAATATTAAATGAGTTTCTGGTGAGTAAAGGGTTCAGGTCTCTGCTATATTTTGAGGAATCAGCAGGATTTTTGTTCATGCTGCTTTACTTCATTATACTGAGAGTCCATATATAAGCTTTCATGACACTCTGGAAATGGGGTTTCTGCCCCTGTGCATGTTTGATTGTTTGTAAACGGGAAACCCATCTATCAGCTTAGTCTGACTCACTCTTCCCTCGTCAGATCTTCAGCGTTTCGGTCTGGGGATTGTGATTGGAAGAGTTCCCAAGAGACAGAAAAAAACAATCACTTACGTCTCAGTTTTAGATGATGCAGCTGCCCTGAAATCAAAAGGTTTGCATGACACAAACTTTATTATACATATGCACAATTATTTACTGACCTGCAGCAGCTAAATGAGGTTACTGGTGTCAACAGGCCAAAGTCTTTCATGCTGAAAATAAAAAGCATGATGGCTTCCTTTGGGGGAGGAAGGTGAGCTCAACACATTCATATTAGCCTACGGGCTACGCCACTTAATGGTGTGTTCACATACACACATGTAAACATTTTTATTTGTCCAAAAGCTGCAGCGCTGCTCCCGGCTCTTTCTCCCAGTTGGCATGCAGCGTTTTTACTCCCCCGCTCTGCCCGGTCCTCTACAAAACAACGCTCTGAAGCCGTCGGTGACGTCCGGACAGTCTCACCGCTCATAGTTATTAGCAACAAAGCGTCATGCGAATTTCTCGCTCTAGTTGAAAAATGTGAACTCGAGCGAACCGGCGAATGACGCAACTGATCTTCTGCAGCGCTCCGCATTGACTTTGTTTGTGATCAACCTGCGCGAAACGCTGGATTTGCTTTCAGTGTGAACGCGCCATAAGGTCTGTCTTCCTGCATGTGTCTGCTGCAGCTGTGTTACCTGGACTATGTCGTTATTTGTTTAACAGGGTACTATAGTACAAACTATATGTTTGTAAAATATGCCGCTCTGTTGCCAATAGACTTGTTCATGTCCGTGACTGATCATCTGCTGCTAACACCGCCTCTTTTCTGTGAACGTGCTCATGGCTGGACTGGGAAACCCTGGGTTGACTTACCGAGTTATTAACAAGCTTCGTGTGACCGCTTATGGCCATCCTGATTGTTTGGGTTAGTGAAGCCAGATAACAAAAAAGAGACATCCTGTGTATGTTAAACTTGTTCCTGGTGCAGGTGCAGCTTCAACCAGCTGTTATCACATGTCCAAAGTTTACCTGATGACACCTGAGCCAGTTCCACTCACTGTATGAAGACCATGACATGCTGGTGAAAGCTCCAAACAACAGTGTGTGTACCTTATTTTATTTTATTTTTTACATATGAAGATATTCTCATTAAAGGGACAATCCACTAAAAATGTACGTGCACAATGTACACACACTAAGGCTGAACAAAGGCCAAAACAATCCTGAATACGCTGACTGGCTACACTCGCTCTTTTTAACCACTATGAGCCTGATCATTTGACTGAACTGCCATTTTATTTCTGGGTGACGATGGAACAGTGTATAGGACACCTTTGGTGTGAGATCCTCGGGTCCGATTCCCACTAATGTGTCCCTGAGCAAGACACTTAACCTAGTTGCCCCAGAGGCGTGCGACCTCTGACATGTTTAGCAATTGTAAGTCGCTTCTTGGATAAAAAGCACAGCTAAATGAGGATGTCTTTGACAGATTTTTAATATTTTAATCTGAAGAACGCACACACCAGTCCAGACGCACGACCACACACTTGACGGTTACACTAAGCGATTGCGGCGGTTCCGGGGACTTGGGATCTCACAGAATCTCACGTGATCAAACGTGACAGCTGGTTGACCTTGTGTGTGCTGTGTTTTGCACAGAAAAACAAAAGAAGGGATTGAAACCGTGGATAAACTCGAGGCTGAGAAGAGGGAATCAGCAGGTTTAGAGATTTTATAGCGCTATAACGCTGATGACCCTTTCCAGTCAGCTCTCTCTCATATTGGCTGTTGCAGGTTTGAGGTAAGGAGTCACCCCTAAAATCCACCGACTCCGGCTGCGGCGCGGTTGCAGGAGCTAATTGCCGCAGCGCGTCCCAGGTAGCAGGTCTATTTTTGCCGTTAGCCGTGTCAAACTGCACAGAGCAGATCGAACCAGGCAGGAAGTCGGACACAGAACGGCAGAGAGAATCCGGTCAATTTTCAAAATAAAAACACCCTGCAGAGACTCCCGATTGTAAAACAGCAATTAACACGGTAGTGGAAGCACAAAATGCAGAAAACTGATTACCAAATCAACAAAATCTAAACATACGTCAGTAAAATGAACGCTCTGATTCTGAAATGCTCTCTGTGGGAAATGCAGCCTGAAGTTGACAGAACGAAACGAGGTCGCAGGGAGCTGTGAAGAAGGTAGAAGCACGAAAAGGACAAATTTATCTCAAGTCAATGACGTGGTGAAGGCCGCACGCTCCGCTGCTGAGACGCTTCCAGTGGACGTTGACGCCGAGCCATGGACGCATCAAAACCGTGGCGCAGCCGTAACGTGCCGTGGCCAAAGTCAGCGGATTCCTGGCCTTACAGTCAGTGACCTTAGAGGAGACCGATTATGCTTTTCCACATTTTATGCCTTATCTATGTTACAATGTTGGATGTTCATGTTAAACATGGCCAAAGATGCAAATAATGAGGTTAAAGCATTTAAAAGAAATCTCTGTGAGCAAAAACCTCAGATTTCCTCCTGTTCTGCCCAGCAACAACAGCCTGGTAACATGCTTCAGGTCTTGGCCAATCAGAAGACAGTGGGCTTTGGGAGGGGGGGCCTTAAAGAGACAGGAGCATCTACAGCTTGTTTCAGACAGAGGCTGAAATGAAGGCCTGCATGAAGAATCAGTATAAGAAAAAGTTTGAATCATGCAAAGCTGCCATACAGGAGTCACAGAACCACAATATAGGACTGGAAAAGCAGTTTAATTGGTCTCCTTTAAGATTACATCCATAAACCCCTCACACTACAGGATCATTTGGGCCGATTATCTATTCCAACTTGCCATTGATCTACAACACCCCTGCGTTTGTTGGGAGGGTCCATAAAGTATATTTCCCTTTACAACTCTGTCTGCCTCAACTGCTTTTCCAGCGCAGGGAAACGACCATCACTGAGAACAATACCAAACATAACTGAATCACTGACAAAAAGGAAGTGGGGAACGATTAAAAGGTCTGGAACCAGGCTAGTAGTCGTGTACGACAAAGATAAAACATTAAAAATGAAACTATATATTCAGTAGGAACCAATGGGCTCGGGGCTGAGAGCCACAGACAGGAAGTCACACTGCTGAGGGACAGATGTTGTTGCTTTGGGTCTGTACATGGGATTTGTTGACAGTAATATAAAAAGACAGCTGATCTCAGGGTCTCCACCTCCTCAGTTGAAGAAATCTTTGGAAATGGCCTCAACAAAGTTGGGAGCCGACATGAGGATACCGATGGTGCACAGGATGGTGAAGAGTGAGAACGCAACCAGACACAACCGGTCGATCACCGCTGCGGCAAACTTCCACTCGCTGCAGACCGTCTCCTCCTCATCCAGGCCACGGAAACGGCTGGCAATGTACCTCACCTCCTCCAGGATCTGGTTCAGTTCTGCCTCTAGAGTGGAGCCCCCTGCCGCTCCTCCGCCTCGTCCTCTGGCTCCGCCCCCTGCTCTCACCACGTCCTCCTCCCCGGCCAAGCCGCTTCCCACCAGCCGTGAACAGAGGAGCTCGGGTTCGGCGGGTGAGGCGTAGTGCAGTCCCTCCATGCCCCGGAAGCCGACGTACAGGAGGTTCCCGTTGGTCACCTGCGGGGGGTGTCGCAGAGACCCCTGGCTGACGCTGAGCTCCAGGCTGGACAGGCTGCCGCGACGGCGCTTGGCGGCATTGTGGCACGCCAGACGGACCTTTGCCTCACCAGGACGCCGCATCCGCAGGAACCAGGCGCACCAGTTCAACAGAATCACACGGGTCTGAAGTAAAAGAAGAAGAAGAAGTAAGGTTGTAGTTAGAGTGTTTTCTTGTTTACAATCAATTTCTCTGCAATTGTGTTGATGTTCAGTGAGTAACGATACAAATGTTTGCCAAAATTTCACATTTGTTAGGATAAATGGATTCATTTACCAAAATGTCTTATTGCTGTTAAATCTAACTTCACAAAGACGTCACACTGGATATCAAGGAACTGACACTAAGTAATTTACAAATGATCCATTTAGAAACCAAATCACATAATTAGTTTTGGAGTAGAGTTTAATAAAGCTTTAATGTCCACGAGGAGCAGTTTGACTTGCAGACAGCATGAGTAATAATTACACAGGTTGATGCTAAATCACATTTCGGCGTTTTCTCTGTGGCTCTAAAGTGATCAAATAAAAATCAGAGGAACACCAAATTCATGAGGGTTCGTCCTCTGGGAACTATGATGTCTTTACAAAATCTCATGACAATCCCTTTAATTGTTGTCAAGACATGTTTACAAAAAGGGAAGCGTCTGGACTCCAAACGAGCTGTTTTAGTTCAGAGCAGAGTTTTCTGTGGGAGATGGGAACTCACTTTGTTCTGGACTTTGGGCTTTTTCACTTTGCAAACCTGTTACAGCACAAAAATGTTTATAACTCAATAAAGGAGAGGGGAAAAGACAAAAAGCAGAATACCAACACTTTAAGTTTGAAACAAGACTTATGGAATCTGCAGCTCTGGTATCTGTGATTATGGATCAAACAGGTCTGAGAAGAAACAGGTTGTGCACTTTTATTTCATTACACAGTTGTAAGAAGACAGGAGGAAAGAAAAGTGTGTAAAACAATTAACAGCATTGAGCTTTGGACCTAGTTGCTGCTGCTGCTGAAGAAGAAGAAGAGTAATTATCTGAAAGTTGACTTTACAAAATATTTACATAAAAACAAATTAATTAAAATTCATTTATGCAAAAACGTGTTTATGCGGAAAAAATCTGCATTTACACGAGGAAGATATGAGCTTGTGTGTGTGTGTGTGCAGCAGATAAAAATAGAGCATGGGTAAATTGGATCCTGCTCAGCTCTCAGAGGAAATCTTCTCCTACAGTCCGATATTTCACTTCACTCTCAGTTCGTTAAATATTTAGCTGTCAGACTCTTGACTGTTGACCGTCTGAGAGTCTGAACATCCGTCAGACCACCAACAGGCTTCTGCCTCAGTCTGGTCACCTGTGGCTCATCTGGAGGGACAATGACGTCAAGGACAAGTTCACCGACACTTCTGTCTTCTTCCTGTATGATCCATTTCTGTCCTCTTCCTGTCTTTACTTTTCAGTGTTAGCTTCTATCCTTTCCCCTTCTCGTTTCTTTTTAGTGTACTTGCATTTGCATCCCTTCTTCCATTTCCTTCCATCCTTCTCTTTCTTGTCCTCTCAGTTTCTTTTCAGACACATTGGATTCTCCCAGGCTGTCCTACACTGAATAATTGTTGAATTTAACTTTATTTGTAACGCTACGCTCTCCTCACTCAAACGTACAGTAACTCAAAACTGCCACGGTAAGAAAATAACTTATTCTGGTTACTCAAACGTTGAACATCAGACATTCTGCTCACGAGTTAGTGTGTAAAGAACGAGACACACTGAACATCAACTCTGCTGTCTTTGCCTGAATATCTGGATAATAACTGGACTAGAAGATTAGAGGTAGATGATACTTTAAGACGTTTCGTCCATTATCTGACAGACAAAAAGTATCTTCAACCAGTTGCTGTTGACTTTAACCCTCTTTGGATAACTACAACCTGGATGTGGATGACTGAGAACGTTCACAGACGTATTGCCTGAACATTAACAGTGTTTCCCATTAATTAACGAGACCATGGCGGCCCGCCATAGTCTCAAAATGAACCGGAAATAGTTTGACACATCTAATAATAACGTTTCGACCTCGAACATTGTGTTTTGTGGGCGCTGCTGTAAGCTCGCACGCTCTGGCATCCGACTAGACCACTTTTCTTTTGAGGTAACGTTAACTACGGTAACCTTAACGGCCTGTTTCTGTCACTCGTCTGTGAGAAGGAGATTAAACTAGCCGCACCTAAATGTGGAGTGCACAGGTATTCCAGCCTTTACGGTAAGTGGAGCGGCCCAGAGCGAGCTGACAGGCAGGTTAGAGACTTTATCCTGTCAGTTTGTCTCTTTAGTATGAAGAGAGGCTGTGAAGTCTTCATGTTACAACATTATTTATCAAACCGGGTCGGACCGGATGGATTTAGCGCGAGGAGGAACACATGTGACAACGGATGGAAATAAGAATAACTGGATTATATTCACAGAAAGTATAAAACATACTACATGCGTCCAACAATAAAATGTTAGGAAATTACTTATTATATTTTCTATTCTTTGATTTAGGGTTTTTGGAAAAAATAAATTTGTTGACTTTTGTTGCTGTTTCATCACTATTTATAGCTATACAATGGGTTTATGGTTAAATAGTTTATTAGAGCAAGTGTACATTTAATTTTGCGCCAAATTAATGCATTTAACTTTAAAATTTAGTAAATCTTTCTTCCGAGGGGGCATACCCCCCAACCCCCCAACAGGGTCCGAGGCCCACCCACCATAGTCTCTTAAGATCCTGTGGGAAACACTGATTAATCATAACATTTTTTCACTCCTGAAAAAACTGAAATGTTAGATATTGAAAAAAAACTGAACTAAATTCTGATTATAATCAGGAACTATCTGATCAAAGAATAAGTAAATAAGATTATCTAAAAACACATTCAGTGGCAAACGGTGTTTGAGACATTTTGGTTGGTACAGAAAAGTACTGAGGTTTGATCCTCAGTTCTACTAAAAACCAAAAACAAGAAACTTTTGTATAAAATAATCTTCTCTTTCTTTTCCTGTGAGGTTTTGATCGAACTAAATCCCTCATTTCAGCCTGATGAAAGCCACCAGCTCATGAGGAGGTGAACGTTCCTGAGATTTGCCATTAAAGGCTGCCTCTGTTCCATCAGAGGGCAAGTTTCCTTCACAACAATGTGACCAGCGAGTAAAACAAAGCAGAAATCAGCAGACCAAAATAACACAACAAGTTTAGCAGAGTCAGTAGTTGTATTAGAGACTCAAAATATTAAAGAAGTGGTATTATGCTTTTTAGTCCGACACGCCCTCAGAAACAGCGAGCTGCAGCACACAGCTCTCCTCTCCCTTCCAAACACTAGCTGCCCTCCAGGCAGTCAGTGGACATAAAGTTGTTCCTGTGATGTAGAGACAGAGCTCAGTTAAAACTTTATGGATACAGATTAATAACTCACCGCTCTGAAACTCTCGCTCCAGTCCATGTTGCCGAGCCGGTCGGCAACACGTACAGCTGAACCCGAGCTGTTTACCGGCTTCTCGCTGACCCGCCCTTCTCTGCTTCTGATAGTAGTCCTTAACTAGGAACTGAGCATGTGCAACTCCCAACAAAGATCATTTAGAGACAAGATGTATCACTCCATAGCTAAAACGAAGCCTTCAACACAGGCTGAAAAAAGATGAGCTGCAACAATGTGCAGTAGGACAAAAATATAACCATGTAAACCTGCTCTGGTGCAACCTCTAAATAAGATGATGAACCTGAAAATGAGCAGAATACCACCTCTTTAATATTACAAACATTTTGACATAAAGTTAGATGCTATAAAGCAAGTTTTTAATTTCACTTCATATTCATTCATTATTATGATTGTCACGTCAAACGAGTGGCGACAGACATACTATATGTTTCTGTACGACATAACTGGACCACTCCTGAATTCTGTGCCTACTGAAGAGAAAATTGGTTACAAACTATCTTAAATCGCTCTTACATGCCACTTGGATATGAGTGGTTCTTGCATGAGGCTCATTGTGCGTGAGCCTTTAAAATAAGACTTGATTGGGTCGTTGAAATGCGTCCGCTGTACACCACTCTACACCAGATTGCCACCCTTCTCACCTATTTTGCTGTAATAAGATAATTGAGTTAGCACAGAGTGGAAGTGAATTATTCTGCACCACTTTCTTTCCTTACACTTTGTAAAATTTCATTTTAATCCTGTGCTGGCGAACACATTGGCTAAAAGGTCAGAGAAGCGACGTGTGACTGAGAGGTCAGCAGTCCAATATCTGAAGTGTCAAAACAAATCCAAGCACCACAGTGACAGGGACTGCAGTGCAGAGGGGAAGCACATTTACTCAAGTACTGTACTAAGTACAATGTTGAAGTAATTGTACTTTATTGGACCATTTCCATTTTATGCTACTTTATTCTCCACTACAATTCAGAGACAAATATATGTTTAACTCATTCTCACTACATTTACTGTATTTGATCACTTTAGTTACTGGATGGATCCTTTGCAGTCAGATTATTAATAAAAAATATAAACAGGTTCAATTAAGACTTTATTGATCCTGGGGGGAGATTGACAGGCCAGCAGTATTTAAAGTAATTTACCAGCTGCAATATTAAAGTAAACACATTGATTCATCAGCAACTAACAAAATAATCTAATCTAATAATATTATTCTACAGAATTCATGAAGGTAATAATATTTTGAATGCAGTACTTTTACATGTACACGTGCATTTACACCACAAAGGTCGTGTAATTTCATGAATTAAATGTTGAAAAAGTGTTGATGTGCTGCGCACAGTTTTTTATTTATATCATAACTTATATTTGGGCTTGGGGAAGGTATCAAGTCAGTTCGAGTCAAAAGGCTCAAGTCCAAGTGAAGTCAGGAGTCATTGGTGTCAAAGTCAAAGTTGTTGTTGGAAGTCTGTTTTGATTTTGCCAAGTCGAGTCTAAAGTCATCACATCACACCTCTGGATTTTACTACTTTTACTTCTTTGTACTTGTACTTCTTTCATCCCTGGAAATAGAAGTATTAAAAAATGATAGTGGATATTCCCCAACAGCAGCTGGATGTAAAAGGAGTTGATTATGAGACATGAAATAATAAATATATATATATATATATATAATATAAAACTAAGTTTTCTGTATATGTTATTTTGAATATTATTATAATTATTTTTTATTATGTTTCACATTGTTGAAAGGTTGTCTGCTCTCTGTGGCGGCTGCTGCGAAGCTAAATGAGACACACTTGTCCTTCTTAGCCTCACAGCTTCACCTTCACGGCTCGACGGTCACGGCTCCTCTTCCTCAGCGGGAACTTTCACATTCATGACACACGTCAGAGCGGGGCGGTCACCTCCCCACCTAACCCTGACACACACACACAGCTAAGGTAAGAGCTCTGTCCTTCAAAATAAATCCCAGCATAATGGAATTTCACTTGTTCAGATTCGCACAGTGGGCAGAGTGTGTGTGCATGTGTTTGTTTTACTACATTCATGGGGTCTAATAACATGGATTCCACTATACTTGTGGGGTCCGACAGCTTTGTTGGAAACAAAATGCTGGACCCCACGACTTTAAAGGGCTTTTTGAGGGTCAAGTCTTCAGGCTCAGGTTAGAATTAGGGTTATGGTTAAGGTTAGGCGTGTAGTTGTGATGGTTAAAGTTAGTGTAAGGGGCTAGGGGAATGCATTATATCAATGACGGGTCCCCGCGAAGACGGTGCAGCAAGGCTGCGTGTGTCTCACAATAACTAGATGTGTTTCAGCACTTTTCTTTAAGCTGCAGGTTGCTGCAGAATAAATAAATTGGATGAACACATTAACGTCCAATCAGCTCTCACATGGAGGCTCGTTCAGAGCTTGTTGAGGCCGGCAGCTCGTTAAGGACCTGAGGCTCATTAAAGCTGACTGGGCAGAAAGAACAAAACCATATTAGACTCCACATGGAGCAGTGAGCACACACACTGTGGCAACAGGCTCAAAGGAAGTGAAGAGGACAGGAGGAGGAATGACTGACCCATTGTGGCATGTGTCCTCCGTCAGGGTCGTGGTGATGATACTGCAGAACCAGAACTGTAGCGATGACCGACAGACCCACGATCACCATGGTGGTTGCAAAGTACTGAGCTGAAACACAAAGGTCAGTTTATATTTACTGTTGTTTAGACATTTTTATCAAGAGGAGCATCAGAGGGTCTACTTATTAGCAGTCCTGACAGGAGTTTTGTCTCAGAGTGTTCAGTGGACAGGGACGTGCGAGCTTGACCTGGAGACTCCACCCAGAGGCCCCCGACAAAAGAGGAAGAAAACTTATAAATTTAAAGTTGTCTTATTTACATACTGTGTCTTTTAATGTCAGTAAATACGTCCAAACTGTGGGAAGACTGGGTGCCACAATATCTCGTGTGCATTTTTCTACATGTGTTAAATACAGAGGATGTCACATGTGGTCAGTGGCAGAAAAAGTACCCAGATCTTGTACTTTAGTCAAAGTAGCAAAACTGCAGTATAGAAATACTCTGTTACAAGTAAAGTCTGCATTCAAATAATTCCTGAAAAGGTAACCTTGGTGTTTTTCGACCCTATATTCCCATCTTTTTGTGTCAGTGTGACTAATTGGGACATTTTTGGAACTGGTCCAGTACTGAGTCAGTGCGCAGCAGTTGGCAGCAGCGAAACTCGGCTGAAACGTAATCCTTGCAGGCAATTGCACCCCATCAAAGTACGTCCACTAAAGTGTTTCCTATTGCTGCAGACAGGCAAGACAAGTGTTTGACATTATGGAAAGCATCCCTACAGAGAGAGAGAGACCTTTTTTTTTAAAGCGAAAGATCCTTTTTGTTTAAGCAAAAACATTTACTATATTGCTCTTGTCAAAGCCACCAGACTCCATTAATAAAAACAGTAATTTTACCTTGCAGAACATGGTAGTTGCTAGTCTACCGCAGCCTCCATCAGTTAGTTTGTTCATTTTATTGTGTAAATTTGTTGGCAAGTAAAATATCTGTTTTTGTCAAGGGAGTCTAGTGGCTTTGATGAGAGTGATACAGTGACGGTTTCTGTTTAAAGGTCCAGTGTGTAATATTTAGGAGGACCTATTGACAGAAATGCAATTTTCAGTCGTGTATAAGACCTTACATAACCTACATACACCGCGGGTCCTCTTACATGGAAGTTGCCATGTTGCGGCGTGCGGTTTCTACAGTAGCCCAAATGGACAAAGAAAACAAAAAAGAAGAAGAAGTAGTAGTAAATAAAAACATTGCCGGGGTAGTCTATATTATATAAAGATATTAAAAGAGGACCATATGTTGACAGTGTTTTGTGGTTGGATTTAGAAATTAAATTTACATAATGAACAACCTCATGGAGGAAAAAGTATAAAGTTAGGTTTTTTACTGCCGGATTTACAGTTGCCATTAGAATTTATTATACAAGTACTTATTTCGTCTGAGGAGCACTTGAATGCACAGTGAACCATTTGTTGCAATTCACAACCCTCACCACTAGATGGCACTAAAACTTAAAAATAAAAAAGATCTGACTGTTTTTAACAAAGGTCTCTCTCTGTAGGGATCCTTTCCACAATGTTGTCAGACTTTTGTTATAACTATCTGAGCGTAACTGGCTGCAAGGACTACGTTGCAGCCCTGTTTCACTGCTGCTGACTGCAGTGCGCTCACTCAATTTGGACCAATTTCAAAAAATGACATCCCAATGAGACACATGGGAAAATAAGGTCCGGGTTGAAAAATACCAAAGTTACCCTTCAAAAGAACTGGCATCAAAATATAGTTAAAGTGCCAAAATCAAAGTATGCATTATACAGATTGGCCCATTTCAGAATTTTCCCACTTAAATGTTGCAGCTGGTAAAAGTGGAGCTCACTTCAACTACTTTATATACGTACTTTATCTGCTGGGTAGCTTGTGAACTGATCAAAAAAGCTGATCTGTTATATTACGTCATCCTTCATGTTCGATTATACACTGAACAAAATTATAAATGCAACACTTTTGCTGAACTCAAAGATCTAAGACTTTCTCTATGTACACAAAAGGCCTATTTCTCTCATATATTGTTTCACAAATCTGTCAGAATATGTGTTAGTGAGCACTTCTTCTTTGCCGAGATAATCAATCCACCCCACGCATATCAAGATGCTGATCAGACAGCATGGGTACTGTACAGGTGGGCCTTAGGCTGCCCACAATAAAAGGCCTTAGACTGGCCACAATAAAAGCCACTCCAAAATGTGCTTGCAGATTTTGACAGATTTAGCAAAAGTAGAAGTATTAGTAAGTAGTAAGTAACATAAAATTGAAATACTGAAAAAACAAGTACCTCAAAATTGTACTTTAGTACATAACTTAAGTTACTTTCCATCCATATGTTTGGATTTGGAGCTATTAGAAGGCATCTTTGATGGAGCTGAGCAACAGAATATAAGTGAGGAGAGATGTAGCTCATCTATCTTGAAGAAGATACCTATGTGATTATTCTTTCAGTGATTCAAGGCAGAGACCGAGAGATATCTCAGGTGGTGGAGGGATGACCAACAAGAGTGAGGGTCTCACCTATGAGAGGAACAGAGTCAGATGTTGCCGGCATGATCTCAGCTACCAGCAGCATGAAGACTGTCAGAGAAAGCAACACCGTGATACCTGCAGAGAAAATTAATATTTATACCTTAGGGAAACAAAAAAATGGATGTTCCTTAGCATATTGTGGTTCATTTCCAGCGATCAATCAAAGGAATGTGCATCATAATTATGCAAGAATATCACAAAACCACCGCAATCACACCACACGTGTTTATTTCTATGAAGTTTTCAACATGAAAATAATTTCCTCAGTAAATTACATCTGCAATAAAAAGTTTCAGCAGCACTTACTCCCTTAGCTCTACATGTATGAGCTGGGTGTTGGCAGCGGCCACTGTTAACAGCTGCTGAGTTCAGGTTTGGAGAAAATTGGAGGCAGGAACGGTGAAAAGAAAGCTAAAACTGGATGTGTGTTCTATAAAGGAAGGATGAATCCCCTGGACTGAACACAATATGATTCTGAGTGGTGTGTGTGTTGCCAAACCCTCTGGAAGTTAGAGAGGAGGAGATTTCATGGGCACCAGTGACTTCTGAAGCGTCTCTACATCCCTCCTTTAAAAACGTGAGATAACCAAACTAAACTTTACTTCACAGACGGCAGGGTGTGTGGATTGTACTGAGAAAGTGATGACGCTTTTTGGTTTGTGGGTGGAGGCAGAACTCTCAGGGTCAGACGCATTGAAACCTGGAAAACCAAAACAACATGAAAACAACTCTTTAGATGTGGACTCAAGCCGGTCACAACGCTGAGAACTTGACTTGGACTGGACTTGGCTAATACAGCTGGGTACTGATTGAAAGTTTTTGATGCTAGTGCCATTGTGATGCCTGAGGTTCAGTACCCAAATACGGAAACATCTTTTTTTTTTTCAACAAAAGAAGGCAAAGGTCTTAAATGTTAAATGTGTCTAAACACAAGCGGCTGTACTGGTACATAAAACTAAAGGTCTAAAAATGTTCAAATTCTGTCAAAGAGGAAGTAACTTACAACACGCTCTCACGCCCAATTCATCACAAATTAACTCTTGGACAAGACCCACCGGCGTCGTTTTTTAATGCCCTGGGTATCATTTAGCGTTGTTTTGCATGTGTAGGGCTGACTTTCTTGTTATTCTTGTTATAAAGCACATGCGTAACCTGGTGAAATGTTGCAATTTGGTTACGTTCGGGCACCAAAAGCACTTGGTTAAATTTAGGAAAACGTAACGAAAAAGTTAAGTCAGTTGAGTAACGATACTCACGTAACTTACGTAACATAACTAAAAATAATCAATGTGGACTTTTTGTTTCACATAGACACAAACATGGGAAAATAAGGTCCAAGTTGAAAAGTACCAAAGTTACCATACAAAAGAATTAGCATGAAAATATAGTTAAAGTGGCAAAATTAAAGAAACTCCTTAAACAGAGTGGTCCATTTAAATGTTGCAGCTGGTAAAGTTAGAGCTCACTTCAACTACTATGCTGTATAATCTTTTGGGTAGCTTGTGAATTTTAAATTGATCCTAATCTATAATATTACATGATAATTTATTTGTTGATTAATCTGAATCTGTAGTAAAGAATACAATGTTTAGTTAGACTTTTAAATTGAAACGTGGTTAACTTTGTAAACTTTGCAATTTGGTCAAAACTACTTACGTAGGTTAAGGAAAAGATTAGGGCTGTCCCCGACTAAGGATTTACATCTACAGGTCGACTGATAGTGAAATCATGTGTGTTTTTGTGCGCGGTGATTGCGAGCCGGGGGGGGGGGGGGTGACACATGGTAGCTCTGCTTTAATCTTGAGAAGCTGCAGAGCTGCAGTCTCTGTTCATTCAACTTACACTGTACATTTCCAGCTAAACTGAGGCTTTTTGAAGACCCTTCTCTCTCTCGCCCCTGTCATTCACCGGTCTTGTGTGAGTTTTGCGTGCATGCCGTGCTGCTGACAGCTGCCTGCACGTCACGGTTCCTCACGCGTTTATTTTAAGTAGCCGGCTATTTAAAAACGATATAATATTCTTTGTGGTTCATCAACGGTGATAAATTATCCAAAAGTCCCGCGAGCTGCGGACAACTCGGCACAACAACAGTGAAGCTGGAGCTCCGTCTCTTCAGCAAGCGTTCCTCTTCTGCCACCACATCCACGCTACACCTACACATGCGGACTGACGAACCGGGGTTAGGGTTCCAATTTTACATGTTTTTTTACAGCATTAAACGTTGAAATGTATATTGTAACAGGCTGTATATTAATTTATTGGGAGAAAACTGGTAGTTCTATGTAAAATCAGACCCCCATATCACCAAAATGGCACAAGCCTTGTTTCACTGCGAAGCTTCGACTGTGAGATTGACAGTCAAATCAGGCTCCGCCCATCGAAGCGTCGAATCTTTGTCACACTGCGGGCTGTGTTTAGAGTAGCTGTTTCCCTAACACCAACACTGTGGGCATGTTACTAATTATCATGAGATACAACCTAGGTCTGCTCTGTTTAACAAAGTAATACAAATACCAATTTATTGTTATTGTTTCCGATGGAGGGCGATAAAAAAACCCACTGCAACAGTAAATATTGTCTTTGTTTCTTTGTTGTCCCAGGCTAAATATTCTCCGCATGAACTGAAATGTACTGATAGTATATTTTTGGACTGTGTTGCACAAACACTATACAGTGTGACATCTAAAAGCTCTTCAGATGCCTCCTTGCTCATCTTGAGGTGCTGCCTTGTACCGGCACCATGTGTTCAAATCTAATTTCAGGTGGAATCATTATGCTCACATGATGTAAATAATCAAATCTTGGGGTCTGTCATTACAGCGTAAGAATACCGGTTATTTCTGGAGAGATTCTGCAGTTAACATTTTTACAATGAATTCTGGGTAAACCTCCTGTTAGGTCACAATAAGCTTTAACGCTGTAATTACCAACATTGTCTGTCAGGGGGGTAAAGATTTTTCACACCACTACTGTTTCTCCTGAAGCTTCCTAATAAAAAGCACTGGATCAATAAAAACAACAAAAGCACATAAACACACAAACGTGCATTAAGTATCATCTTTTAAATTGTGTCTTTGAATCTCTTTATATTGCTATTGTTCACTTTTCCTGTTTAGTCTCATCATTTTCTTTCAACACACTTCAAATAAACTCCTTGTACAGTATATTTTATCACATGCTTTACTTTCTAAAGTCATACTGTTACAGCTTGTAAAGCGTCCTGTGCCTCTGTCACTCAGCTGAACGTGGACAGGTGAAGACTAAAGGCTCTGTTGACATTCAGGTTTGAGGTTTAGTGTTTAAATTAAATTTCCATTGAGAGACGTTGGATCTGATCTCAGCTGTAACTTCCTGTTTCGGGATGTTTCATGGCTGATGGGTATTGACTCAGAGGCATTAATAACCTGAAGGCTCAGCAGAGGAAACAGCCGTCTGAAATACCTCCTGCAGCCGCCCGACAGACCAAACACAGTTCGGACGAGAGCTTTCTTTGTTATTTACCTCTACTGGTTGTGGTTTCAGTTTGGTTTGCTCGGCTTCAGAGAAATCAGTCTGTTCACATCACTGAAAACTGACAAAATGAACCTGTCTTTCTAGAATCAGTGTCCCTGTTATTCTGGATAATCCTTAAAACACACTGGAGGAAAGCTTTGATACGGACTATTTCTTCTGTAGAAAGAAATGCGGTCATCATCTAGGTTTCAATCTAATGTAGCGCACATTTTAACCCACGTCTGAGAGAGTTAATGTATGAGAAGAAGAGGGAGCAACGGGACGTTGTAATGAAATGAGCGCCATTCGAAGCTCAAAGGGGGAAAAACAATGTAGAAAACAAGATGGAGGATGTGAAGAAGGTTACAGTCTCCTCATCGCTCCACACACATTGGATATTTTCCTCTGGCGCAATTTCTTATCCCTTCAGTGGATGTTTAAATCACTTTCTTCAACTCCTATTTTTATATTGTCGCAACTCCACTCCACCAGATTTTAATACAAAAACCGTGTGCATGGAAACCCACCTACTGTTTCTAAAGCCCAATTCATCTCCACAGTACACTTTTAGAGTAATAAATAACAAATAACTGTCAATACACCCTCCAAAACAAAGCCTGCACCGCTGTCAGACTGTCTGAGTAAGCAGAGTAAATCCTTATGATGGTTTAAAGCAGCGGCTCCCGACCCAGAGACCAGATCCCACTTAAGGGCTTCCAAGATAAGGCTAAGTTGCTGTGCAATGATAGGCAAAGCTGTGAAAGAGTTTGGAAAGAAGAAAATAAACATGTCACCTACAATTAAGCTTTTCTATATATTTCAATAACATTTGCTTTTTTGAGAAATACTGGATTGTTTGAGACTAGAAAAATCTTTCCACTCCATCTTTGAACTGCTCACAGCTTCTACTGCACAGCATGCAACCGTTTATAAAAAGTTGACTTTGCTTTGTTTTAAAGGATCACAAGCCAGGAAAAGGGGGGCCACTGATTGAAAGCATCTAATACAGGGGTTTCACAGAGTCTGTGGGCCTCCTGTCAGCCAAAGCTTGGGAAAAGGCGCCACCTCAGCATCTCTGGCACAGTTTGGAGCCACACTCTGCAGCAGTTGTTGGTATAAAATATATCCAAGTGAATTATTTTAACTGGTTTGAAGAAGGACGAAGAAACAAAATATCGATCTATTCTGGAAAGGAAACTTTTAAGCATCAGCTTCAGTGTGAACGAAGCCTGAGAGGGAACTGACGTGTCAGGGAATTTTGATAGGGGAGAGCGGGTGAGTTGAGCTGGTTTTTACTTGAGGTGTGTTTAAAGTGAGGACATGACAGTAATGTCTCCAACTAAAATACGTACATGTATTTTAGGATGTGGTGCGTCCCGGGGAAAATCAATTTAGATCTAAAATAAACTGTTGGCTTTCCAACAAAAGTGGACTCTCAGCTTGGCCCATACGAGGGGTAACATGGGGGTCGGGGACATCATTGTTATTTCATCAGGCAAACTCATATGCCAGGTCCCAACATTTAATAGCATTTAGTTGTGAAACTATTTGTGTCATATCAAAGTATCTCTTTAATGTCTCGTGCCACCTGATGTATGGACTTCCCATTTTTGTACTTTTCTTACTGCTCTGTCCAAACCCAAAAATAGGAGTTGAATCCCGTCTGTCTTCCATTCATAGATGCATGACATGATGGTTTCTGGTCTGAAATGCATAATGTCACATCATTTCGCTGATGCATATCTGGCTCATCTTCCCCCAGGCCTTCAGGCTCAAATCATCCTGTCCCTGCTATTTTAACAAACTTGTGTCATCCAGCAGTTGAAGAACTAACAGTATAGCCTCATATTGTCACTTCCTAAAGCTCAAACACATGTAAGATTATTTCAAACCTGTCTGTAATTGTTCAGACAAAAGAATCACGACTCCTTGAACATAAAAAAATCACTTTGAATGGCAAAAAATGTTTTTTGATCTTAAATGTGCTCATCGCCTTTAAGAGAGTAAACTGAATAACTCAGAAATATGTCTTCATATAACTAATTTTGTCGATTGTGTCGAGAAACAAGGGGTGGCTCAGCTTCCCCACAGGCTCAAATCACCCCGCACCCCCTCTTAATGCAATACAGCTAGCATGGCGACAATGTCCTTAAACGCTGACTGTGATTATATTAACGTGCAATATTTGTTGACGAAAAATGACGAGACTAAAATATGATCCATAAAATAAAAAAGTTAATAAAGTCTATCTTTCTTTTTGTCAGTATAATGAGGAGACAAAATGTTACAGGCCAGATTTTCTCAGTTTGTTCGTTCAGCGGCGTTTTTTTCTTCCTGTGCTTTGAACACTGGGTGCCCGGGCCAACGCCTGGTGCGCGAGGAAAACGTTAAGTGAACTCTGGTGATGAACACAACATGCTCGGGAGAAAGAGGCGCTTAGATATTTGGCCCCATTTCAAATACAGTGAGGGATAAAAACAGAGTGCCTAATTATATCGGACAGAAAGCAATGTGGTAATAAGATTTCTGGAAAAACACTATGAACTGACCACGGGGGAACTGAGATCAGTTAATGTCTCCTTTGCAATAAAAATGACAACAAAGCTAACGCTCAGATTTTACTAAACATTTTATCTATATGTGAGATGAGTGAACTAAAGACTAAAATGATAAATATCTCTATTTTGGTTTAAGCAGATCGACCAAAATGCTAATCAAAATTATACTAATGAGTTAGAAAAGACTAAAATGATGGTTAATGACTAAAACTAGACACATTAGATACATTTGATTTGCTTTAGACTAAAATACCCAGACCTTTAGTCAACTAAAACCTGAATTAAAAAAATAGTATACAGTGGCCTAAATACGACAAAAACTAACAAGGACATTTGACACAGGATTGAGACTAAATTTTAAAAAGGCTGACAAAACGAACACTAAGCTGAAGTCCTCACCCAGGGAGATCTTCTCTCCAGAGTCGGCGGGCAGCAGGAAGACGAGGAGTGCGAGGGTGGAGATGAGGACGCAGGGAATGAGGAGGTTGAGCCCGTAGTAGAGCGTCCTCCTCCTCATCACCACGGTGAAGGTCACGTCAGGGTACGGCTCCTTACAGCAGTCGTAGAAACGCTCGTTCCTCCGTCCAGGAACCTCTGCAAACACAAGAGCAACACTGTGGCTGCAGAGTGACATGTAAACCTCAGAGGTGTGCGAAGGTGGTGTAATCACAGACTGTGCAGCCTTCTTTGGCTCGTAGTCTTATTCAAAGTTAAAAAGTACTTTTTCTATTAGTGACGAATTAATGAACACAGGAGACTTGTATTGATTTTGCTGCCACCACAACATTAGGTCAGATTTTGAAGAGGTCCACGTTGCATCAATATTTTTTTGTTTTATGACATACCTATCCCATTCATTCCCATTATTTTGAATTCTGAGTACTGTGACGCCACAGTGCCGGCTCACTTCAGAGGTCTGTTTGATTCTGTCTCAGAAGATCAGAGATGTAGCTTTAAATATTTAGTGATTCGTAACCCAGTAGCAGTTTTAAAATCAGTTCTGTAACAGATTTAGAGCGCTGCAGAGATCAGAGAACCTGACTGACGTTCAGCTTTCTAAGACTTGAGCTGCAGCTGTTAAAGAGATCAAGAAAAGCCTGAGATTAAGGCACCAATTTGTTGTTGTTGTTGTTGTCTCCGACTTTTTAAACCTATTGTGTGACAAGGCTTAAAATAAATAGGTTAGAAAAAAAAAGGCCACTGCAGCAGAGTCAGAAAACTGACACTTGTTTGTAGAAAACTGATAGATAACAGTGAAAGTGTAAAAGTTATTTGCTCCAGTCACGTGAGTCGTTCGACCTGCAGGAACGAGGCCATTTCATCTCAAATGGCTCAGAAAGGTAATTTATTCCTCCACAGGAGAGGTATTTAAACATTTCACACAGAGTCAAATTCTCCCCTGCAGCTGCTGCAGGGAGGCGTGGCGCCGCCCGCTGAGGACGACTGACAGTAATGAAACCTTCTCAGGTTATATTACTGGAATAATAATCTGTTGCCATAATGTACGTGCAGGAACAGATTAATAAAAAAAACATGATGAATTCAAATAAGCACACATGGTGACTGGATAATAAGCACAACTACTCCCTTTTATATCACCTGTCATTGTTACTCCTTCTCTCCTCTGGATGCTATGACCTTCACGCCTAATCTCTGGATCACTGGATAACACATCCGTACGTCTGGTGTCTAGAATAAAACTCTAGAATAAATCGTATTAAAAAGACATCAACTCTCAGCCACAACGATGGTCAAGTTCATTACTGCACATCCTACAACACTGTTCACACAGGCTGACCAGCAGTCAGGCTGAATATGTCAATTCTGGGCTTGAGGCTTGTGCTAGATAGATAGATAGAGACAGAGAGAGATAGAGAGAGAGAGACAGATAGACAGAGACAGAGAGAGAGACAGAAAGACAGAGAGACAGAGAGACAGATAGACAGAGAGAGAGAGAAAGACAGAGACAGAGAGACAGAGAGAGATAGACAGAGAGAGAGACAGAAAGACAGAGACAGAGAGACAGAGAGACAGATAGACAGAGAGACAGAGAGACAGAGAGAGAGACAGAGAGAGAGAGAGAGACAGAGAGAGACAGAGAGAGACAGAGAGAGAGAGAGAGAGAGAGAGATAGACAGAGAGAGAGAGCGAGAGAGAGAGATACATAGAGACAGATAGCGATAGAGACAGATATAGAGATAGATATAGAGATAGATAGAGACAGATAGAGACAGACAGAGACAGATAAAGACAGAGATAGAGATAGATACAGCTAGATAGATAGAGAGAGACAGATAGAGATAGATAAAGAGAGATACATAGAGACAGATAGAGAGAGAGAGATAGAGACAGAGAGATATACATAGAGACAGATAGAGATAGAGACCGATAGAGAGATAGAGATACATAGAGACAGATAGAGATAGATAGATAGAGACAGATAGAGATAGATACAGCTAGCTAGATAGAGACAGAGACAGATAGAGATAGATAAAGAGAGATACATAGAGAAAGATAGAGAGAGATAAATAGAGACAGATAGAGAGAGATAGATAGAGACAGATAGAGAGATATACATAGAGACAGATAGAGATAGATAGATAGAGACAGACAGAGATAAAGAGAGATAGAGAGATAGAGATATACATAGAGACAGAGACAGATAGATAGATAGAGACAGATAGAGATAGATACAGCTAGCTAGATAGAGACAGAGACAGATAGAGATAGATAAAGAGAGATACATAGAGAAAGATAGATAGAGACAGATAGAGAGATATACATAGAGACAGATAGCGATAGAGACAGATAGAGATAGATACAGCTAGCTAGATAGAGACAGAGACAGATAGAGAGATAGATAGAGAGATACATAGGGAAAGATAGAGAGAGATAAATAGAGACAGATAGAGAGAGATAGATAGAGACAGATAGAGAGATATACATAGAGACAGATAGAGATAGATAGATAGAGACAGACAGAGATAAAGAGAGATAGAGATAGATAGAGAGATAGAGATATACATAGAGACAGAGACAGATAGATAGATAGAGACAGATAGAGATAGATACAGCTAGCTAGATAGAGACAGACAGATAGAGATAGATAAAGAGAGATACATAGAGAAAGATAGATAGAGACAGATAGAGAGATATACATAGAGACAGATAGCGATAGAGACAGATAGAGATAGATACAGCTAGCTAGATAGAGACAGAGACAGATAGAGATAGATAAAGAGAGATACATAGAGAAAGATAGATAGAGACAGATAGAGAGATATACATAGAGACAGATAGCGATAGAGACAGATAGAGAGATAGAGATATACATAGAGACAGATAGAGATAGATAGAGACAAATAGAGATAGATACAGCTAGCTAGATAGAGACAGAGACAGATAGAGAGATAGATAAAGAGAGATAGATAGAGAAAGATAGAGACAGATAGATAGAGACAGATAGAGAGAGATAGATAGAGACAGATAGAAAGATATACATAGAGACAGATAGAGATAGATAGACAGAGATAGATATAGATAGAGATAGAGACAGATATGCAGAAAAACTAGTCCATGCATTTGTTACTTCTAGGCTGGATTACTGCAATTCCTTATTATCAGGCTGCTCGAAAAAGTCCATTAAGACTCTTCAGCTGATCCAGAATGCTGCAGTACGTGTTCTGACAGGAACCAGGAAAAGAGATCACATTTCTCCTGTTTTAGCTTCTTTGCATTGGCTTCCAGTAAAATCCAGAATAGAATTTAAAATCATTCTTCTTACCTACAAAGCTCTTAATGGTCAGGCACCATCTTATCTTAAAGAGCTCATAGTACCTTACTACCCCACCAGAGCACTGCGCTCCCAGAATGCAGGGTTACTTGTGGTTCCTAGAGTCTCCAAAAGTAGACTAGGAGCCAGAGCGTTCAGCTATCAAGCTCCTCTCCTGTGGAACCAGGTTCCAGTTTGGGTTCAGGAGGCAGACACCATCTCCACATTTAAGAGTAGGCTTAAGACTTTCCTTTTTGATAAAGCTTATAGTTAGGGCTGGCTCAGGTGAGTCCTGAACCATCCCTTAGTTATGCTGCTTTAGGCCTAGACTGCCGGGGGATTTCCCATGATGCACTGAGCTCCTCTCTCCTCTACTTTCTCTCCCTCTGTATGCAACCTCATCCCATTATTGCATGTTACTAACACAACTTCTCCCCTTTCTGGTAGTCTTGTGCTTTCTCGTCCCTCTCCTCTCTCCTCCTATCACTTCCTGCAGGTTTTCTGGCTCTGGAGCTATGGAGTCTGGATCTGTGGTTGCGGGTCACCTGCTGCCCCCGTGTTCCTGCTCGATACCCTCTGCTGCAACGACTATTGCTACTAGTCCTATTGTTATTATTGTTATTATAATCATTAACACAACTAGACCTGCTCTTTAAGCGCTGAGAGATAACTGTTGTTGTGATTTGGTGCTATATAAATAAAATTGAATTGAATTGAATAGACAGAGATAGATAGATAGATAGATAGATATAACATACCAGGAGCTGAAACCAGAGAAGAGTCCCCTCAGCCAGCTGGTCCTGAGGCTCTCTGCACTAACAAGTCCCCAACAGCCTCAGGACAGCAACACCAACTCAAGCAGACCAAACCAAATTATCAGCAAGCAGAAAGAAAAATATATTGAATACTGGAAAGAAACAATTAAAACACAAAGTAAATTCCCATGTTATCTGACCCTAAAAAGAGAATTCACACTGGCAAATTACCTGAGCACAATAAAATGTCGAAAACTAAGAAAAATGTTGACAACATACAGACTGTGTGAACACAGCCTGGCCATAGAAAAGGGTTGCCACAGACAGAGCTGGCTACCGCAAGAGGAGAGACTCAGGGGACAGTTAGAGACAGAGCTGCACTTTCTAACCTCATTCCCCAAATATAAAACACTTAGACAAAAACACTTTCCCAAGTATACCACGAATTCAAATTCAGTTTTCAGAAATGCCCAAATGTGAAATATTTGCAGCAAAATATGTCTCCTCATGCCATGAAGTCAGGACAACCAGTGGAACCGCAGACTGATAAATAACTGTAGAAATTTTCAAATTATTATTTTGATTGTTTGATATTTTAGTAATTGTTTTGTTTTTACATTTGATACAGATTTCTTTTTATTTTTTAATCAATTAATAAATTTTTGTATTTTTTGTCTATTAATATATACACACACACACGTTTACGGTATTATCTATTTATTTTATTTTAATTTTTAATATCTTTTTCACACACACACACACACGCTTACTGTTTTATTTATTTATTTTATTTAATTTTTAATATATTTATATTTTTTTAACACACACACACGCGTGCTTTTTCACATCAAGGACCCCTAAACTGACACAATCTAGACCACGGACCCCCGTCTGATGGGGTTTTGGCTATTACATGTTTTTTACAAACAGTATTTGAAACCCATGACCCAAATACTCACACATTCTGTCATTGTGTTACTCATGGATGGGAATATAGTGAAAAGAAATGATTCACCTTTTTGATGGGGACCCCTTGGAACTCCCTTAAGGACCCCTGGTGGGCCCCGGACCCCATTTTAACAGCCACTGGTTTAAACCACTGCTATTCAATGTTTCTCGGCCCCAGTGAGCCACCTCCTTAACTTCCACTTTCCCTTTTTCTGGTTATTCTACTGATGAATTACTGGAAGAGGAGGCAGATAAAAAATCCCTGGTTCTATGTGATCGTTCTGCATTCGACTGCAGCACGCCTGGCTGCCGTTCATTTGCCTGTACATCGCTACATTGCTCACTACATTGGTTTTAATCTCTGTTATAGGTGATGAACTGGAGGGGCAGAGATGCAAATGAAAAACATGCTGCTGGGATTTTCAATTAAATTCCCTCTGAACGGCCCATTGGCTGAACAGTGTCTCTGGAGGAGGCTTCTTTTTCATTCTCTGCTATCTTCTATTTCCATTTCATCAGCCAGAGGAGCTTCAGCTCTCCCGAGACCGAGGACAATCCTGCAGCTCTGAGTCCTTCCTCTGTTGGACCTCTGAGCTACAGGACGACCTGCAGAGGAGTTTTAATCCAGCCTGTCCTCACCTGCAAAACGTCTGAAAAGGTTAATTGTGCAGCAGCTTATTACAAACCATATTTAGGTTTTTTAACCTCTAGTGGCAGAAGAAGTCAGGTGAAGTAGTACAAAGAGCTACAAAGTAAAAAGGAGGTGGTGGGTTTCATTAAGTTTGAATCCCACATGGAAGAAATTCAAATTTAACTTATTAAAAGTGTTAAGTTAAATACTGTTTTGCAGATGACTTACATCACGTGACTTATATAAACTTACTTATTTTAACCCAAACCTAATCAAGTGGGTTTGTTTCCTAAAACTAATCAAATCTGAACTATGTGACAATGCTACATACTGACATCAAGATCCATTAATGCCAGTCATGTGCTGCAGACACGCAATTGTTTAAAGCAGGGATCGGCAAATAAGTCTGGCATCGGGCCAAAGTCTTTCAAGCCGTTACATGGCGGGCCAGAACAAAGTCAAATTATTTAAAATTCTTTGTTACTCGTGTGCACGTTTAGCTCAGTCAGGACTCCCGATGGAGGGGTGGTATGTTCGATCCTGGCATACTGCGGATATTTTTTTTTCTTCCTTGTTAAACAAATGACACTTTTGCACATGCTCACAATAAAGCACGTGCTGCAGTGTGTGTGCGCGTACCGGCGTTCGATCCACATTCATATATCTATTACTTTCATTTCTCTGAGGATATGCAGGGTCACACGTTTACTGGCGGCTTTTTCAGAGGTGTGTCAAGCAAGCCAGAGTCTCTTCTGAATGTCGAAACTCGACATTAAGCATTGATGCAAAACGTTCTCTCTCACACCAAAGGGATGTGCCTTATCCATCGCGCCATCACCACCCATACATGTTATACAGAGCACGTTTTGTCATTACGTTGAATACATATGAACAAGAACAAGTAACATCGGTTGTAGTAACAGTAGTAATCGTTAGTCGTTGTCGAAATGGGACCGTCCGAGGAGCATGTGAACGCACCGTGAATCACTGGTTGCAATTCACAAACCTCACCACTAGATGCCACTAAAACTTACACACTGAACCTCTAAGTACAGAGCTGTGGTTAGCTTAGCTTAGCATAAAGACTGGAAGCAGTGGGAAACAGCTGGCCTGACTCTGTCCAAAAGTTCAAAATTACACAAAGAGGAGCTAAAATGCAAAATACAGAAGTGGATCTCGCGATGAATATCAAGTTTATTATCGCACCTTGAAGGTGGGGTCTGTGATTCTGGAGAAAGACTGTAGATATTTGAACTCAACAGCCAAACAAATACACCCCTCCCTTCAGCGCTCCTACAGTGCCCCGCCCCCCAAAGTCACGGACGCACATAGGCAAGGCTGTGGCACTAACAGCTGGGCAATAAGGCAGAATCCAGAGCATCTGCTGCTCGAGGGAAGGCGAGCAGTAATAAGATGAAGTCATTTTTATCACTATGAAAATACAGGTGGCTGTTGTTTTTTGTGTTCTTGTATCTGTTTAAAGTTTTATTATTATTTTGAATTATGGCAAAAACAACGAGCTGTAAATCTCCAGAGCTTCCCATATTAACCTGTGAAAACACATCTGAATAAACAGTGGAACATGTAGTAGTTGAGTGTGTGTGATCAGAAAGCTTTATGAGACTGTGTGTCATCTGTTCGGGAGGCCACAGGTCTCTGCCTTGCAGCATCGCAAGATAAAATCAAAGCGGTGAAAGAAATTAGAGCTGAAGTTTGACGATATGAATGTCACTCATTGGCCACGCTTTGTTGCGTGATCTGGCATTTGTGAGGAACCGAGGGTATAAACACGGCCTGCAGGCGGCGGCGGTGGCGGCAGCGCTCCCATCAGCCTTCAGGCTTGCAGAGCTGCTCACAGATGCTCGCCCCGCAGCAGCGGGAGGATTTAATTACCAGCAGATTAATGCTGGATGGGAGCGCTGATATGAAACCCCCCACAGCAGACAGACAGACTCTGAGCTGCTCGCTGCTCCGAGGTTTTATCGGCCGCTGTGTTCGGCTCTAACATTTACATATGTTGGGGGAAAAAACTCCTAAATGTACGTTCATCAGGAACTAATTAAAACAACTTGTTTGTTTTGCCGGAAACCTGCAGCACGCGCAGTCGTCTCGGTTGCGAACTCACCAGGAAAAGTTTCTACCTTAACTTTCTCCTTCTCTACCTTGTGCCAGATAGATTAAATTGGACATCTTAAACATTGTAAATTATTAAGACTGAGAAGATTATTCTGGTTTTGCTTCTTTGTCCCCCTCTCTTGTCCTTCTTATTCTTGTCCTTATCCCCGGGGAAGCCAGGCTAACCTGGGGTGCGTTTCCCGAACAACCACGGAAGGTAGCGTTGAACTATGTTGGTACGATGCATCGTTAAACTAACAAACACCTTGTTGGTGCCACCGTGGTTTGAACTAACTCAGTTTGAACGGCACGAAACTCACAAAACGTCATTTTCTGCCTAAATATGTCAGTTGTGACCGATATTAAGTGACATTATTATAGTAAGTTATTATTTAGGCTTTTCATTTAATAGTCGTACCGGCTTCTACAGCAGCTACAGAGCTGCTCTGTACCTGAACATTAGCTCAGTTTATAGAGAGTAACTGGAAGCTGGATTTTATTACTGCCTACTTGTTCATGTTGAGAACTTTCAGGTCCAAACTGAGAGTAAACTGACGCAGCCTGCAGCTCCGTCCTGCACAGACTGATTCAATTAGTTTTCAGTTTTCAGTCTGAAAAAGTGGTTTTGGAAAAGAAAGGACGGAGGTGACTGGAGGAGCTGAGCTTAGTAAAACTAATTAGTGATGCAAACTCGTCCTTTTAAGCTGATGAGGAGACGTTTCTGTTTGGATTTTAATGTGCAAATAAAATGCACCTCAGAAGGGAGGAGGTTTCTCATGCTGCCTATTTTTTATATTAATGTCTACAGATAAATGTCAGAAGCTGTAAAATGAAGACACAGAAGGCAAACATGAACAGTCGTATGTAGAATGATACTAACAGGGTTTCAGGGGCTGATGCCCAAAACATGCTGTGCCCTCACTGTAAAATCACTGTGGAGCATCAGAACCAACCAAATTACTTTCTCCAGATCTAAAGCTTGTCGTTCCTCCAGCAGACTGATCTTTGGCTGTTGGTTATTTATTATCTGCTCCAGCTTTTCCAACTATTTGTTCAGAGATATGGTGAAAATAACGGCCCGATGTGATGTGAAATTACAACGCCAAAACATTCATCTAAAGCTCACATTAAACTGGGAAAACACTGCAGTTTGAAGCTGTTCTAAGGTGCATCGCATGCTCATGGACACAAGAGCAATGTTGTGTTGGGGTTTTATATTCAGACAAAACTTTTGCTTCACCTCCGCTGCTACAGCTCCATCGCAGGGGAAACACCGCTATTTATATAAAAAACGGACAAAACTGGACATTTCTTGGAGAAAAGAAAGCAAGGAAGGTGAACTACCTGGTGATGTGTGTCTGTAACTTTATTCCAGCTGTTGTTGTACTTTACTGTGAACAGGTTAGCGTAGCCCTCATTGATCCAAACTCCATTCAGAAAACATTTTAAAAGTTGTTGTCCTGCTGACAGACCTGCCAAAGCAAATATTTAACAAATCTGCGTCATATTGTAGTTATTTCAGCATCAGTTAGATCCGTTTATTAAAATGAAATCACAGCAAAATGTTTACTTTGGGTTCATTCAGCTGTAGTAATTGTGAGTTGTGTTGATTTGCATTGTGTGTACTTGGCAGTCGTCCAGCGATAAAACCCCCGCGAGGGAAGCGTAGGATGAAATTTGCGTTTGGTCTGATCATTATTTCCATTGTCGATTCATCGGTCGATAATTTTCTCGATTAATCAATGTCAGTAAATGGTGAAAAATGGTGATCAATGTTTCCCAAAGCCCAAGATGACGTCCTCAAATGTCGTGTTTAGTCCACAACCCAAAGATATTCAGTTTACTGTCAGAGAGGAGGAAAGAAACCCGGAAATATTCACATTTTTACTTAAAATTACTCAAACCAATTAATCGATTATCAAGATATTTGGCGATTAGTTTAATAGTTGACAACTACTTGATTATTCATTGCTGTGACTCCATTTCAAGCTCCTGTTTTTAACCAAAGTGTTTAATAAAACTTGTGTTCATGTGGAGAAGTGGAATCAACGAAACCCAACTTGTTTTAAAAAATGTCCAGGATGACAAAACAATGAACAAATTAAATTTCAGCTTGATATTTCTTCTTTAAGACGTGTGCTCTTACCAACGAGGTCCCACTCTCCGTTGGCGATGTACCCGGTGACATCAGCCTCGATCATCTGCAGGTCCAGAGACCAGCCGCCGTACGTCCACGAGCCGAATTTCAGGTCGCAGCGCTGCACGTCGAACGGAAACCAGCGAACGTCGATGTAGCAGGTGCTCTTAAAAATACCTGAAATTAAGCAAAAAGGAACTTAAAGTAAACTACTGGAGCGGAGATGTACAGGACAAAAACAGGGTCAATAACCTCTGAATGAGATGAGAAGTGAAGTGTTTGTGTGTCAGCAGGAGATCAATATCAAATCAAAACAAAAACTAAAAGAAATAAAGAAAAACACCCAGGAGGAATTCATGAAAGAAGATGAATTCCAAGCATCAGAGAAAAAGATGATGTTGGCGACAGAAACCACATGACTCTGTTAGAAATAAAATATCTTGAATCTGCCCAAACAGAGGACGAGCTGCGACGACAAACTGTTCACCGACAGATTTTACTGAAGGATAAAGTGTTTTAAAGTTTTTTCCCCACAGGCATACAAGAAAACGTCGGTCCATCAGTCTGCTCAGGACGACAAACTGATCTGAAACTAGTCTGCACCTGCTGCCTCAACCAATAAAACGTTAAAGTAAAAGTTTAATGAGAGGAGAAATGAGCTTGTTGCTGCACCACAAAGCAACAGGACACAGCAGAGAGGAAATTAACTATAAATATTAAGAATAAAGCGGTTCCAACACACGACGCAGTTTAGACTGAACTAAGGAGGATGTGGTCAAGCGAATTAAGTGGGAAGAAAAAGTAGTGGGTGCAGGATACTTTTCAACTAGGGCCAAAAATGTTATCAAGATAAAAACATTTCATATCATTTGATATCGATAATTATCACGATAAATGTCAAATCATTATTTCTTATATCATATTTTTAAATGATGAAATGAAGAAGCCTGATGGTTAATTGTGGTTAAACTTTCTTTATGGTCAGAACACTTGATGCCAAACAGAGGATCACTTCACAAATCTGAAGGAGAACATTCAAAACTATTATGATAAAAAAAAAAATAGGAATAGTAAATATTTTTTCAGTCCCTCTTCCTCAACAAAATAAATATTTTAAAAGAAAGATTAAGTGCTAATTTGTTTGTGATTCAAATGAATTGAACCAAATATTCTAAATAAAACTAGTGGTTAAAATTGTCAAACGTCACAATTTGGTTGAGTTTAGGCACCAAAAGTACTGATTGAGTTGAAAATATCATAGTTTGAGTTAAATAACAACATTACGTGACTTTACTTACAGAAGTTAAGGAACACACTGCACAGCCACTTCAGTCTTCTACCCTCAGGCCAGAGAACAGATCAGTCACAGTTGTGTGCCCACGTCCGTCAGAAGCATGAATGGCTGATTAACTCATTCATCTACGTGTGCGGGTGTGTGTGGATTGGTGGTTTATTTTTAGTTCTTTTAAAACAATATTATTAATGTTTGTCGCCTGTTTATCATGTATTTATTTTGCTTTTCAAGCTTTACCTATTTACATACAACTGTTGATTACTGATATGTGACGTGTGTGTGTGTGTGTGTGTTGTGTGTGTGTCTGTGGTATTTTGTGATGCGTTTCTGAAATTGAAAGGTATACGCACTGATGCTCAGCACAAAGGAAGTTCCTGGAGGATAAATAAAGTTCTTTATATTTTAAAGTGAATAATGTTAACTTGCGTATACTTAAGTCACTTCACTAAAAACATTTCACGTTGACTTTTTGTTTCACACAGAAAACCAACAGCGGTCTCCTGTTCGAATGTCCAGCGTCTGGCCGAACGTGTGTCCATTCGTGGATTATTTATAGAGCTTTAGTCCGTAAGGTTCCGTCATCAAAAGAATCTAAACACTTTGGATTAACTACAGTAACCTTCGCCTTTTATCCTTTCTACCGTAGTCTCTCTCTCTCTCTATCTCTCTCTCTCTCTCTCTCGATGCGTTGTCTCTCAGAGCTAGAGCAAATAAATGATTCATAATTGATATGTTAGCCAAAATTTTAAAGTAATATTCACCTGGGTTGAAATAAACAGTTTGATAGTATCCTATTTCCCATCTTCGCTGAACAAGAGTTTTGTGTGAAGGGAATTAAAGGCCAAATATATGCCAGGTGAGTCCAGTGATTGAAACAAATAAAAGCCCGGGCTATTAAAGTTTTACGGTAATTCAGCCTTCATTTCAGTTTGTGTCTGACTGCAGAACAAAGCTTCTTAAACTGGTGGCAACTAATAATGACAGGATGCTTGAAACGTGGCTCCGTTCTCCTTTATCACTTTTATTGGCACAACATTTAGTTTTCCTTCTATTGTAGTTCTATTAAATCATATTTTATTTCTCACTGCTGAAACGTGAATGTGACGAGTTACAACAGAACATATTAATAACCTGAACGTAAGATAACTAAATATGGTAAATCCATGGTCGTGATGTTGAAATGTGTACTGTAATACATTAATCTGCAGAAGTTCATAAGAATGGCCTAAATCTTTTCACTCTCGTGATCATTCCTCCCCGTTTTCAGGCATGTTGTCGTTGTTAAACAGAGTTAGCAGGATTGTAATAATCCACTAACATGTCAAAGAGATTTCAAGTATGTTTGTGGTAACATTATAAAGCGTGTTAACAGAAGTATAAAGTAGTTTTGCTAACGTGTGAGGAGCCTGTTTATACACCAAGCTATTTACTGGCTGATTATAATAACTTTATTTGCTTATTTTCTATATGCTTAATTGATGTCTACTAATGTACATATTTTGTTGCAATATATAAGTCTCATAGGACTTCAGTTTTCATCGTTACTATAGATTTATCTCTGAGTAATCTCTGGTAAACACTGTGTCAGTGGAATAAGTGTGTGCATTCTCTACACCGAAGCATTTGGCTGTAAAATTATATAAACTGTTTATTTTTGTACAAGAATTTCATTAGAGTAAAAGTTCTCGCTGAGGAAACATCTCTTTTCACTCTCGTGATTATTCCTGCCCATTTTCAGGGGCGTAACGTCAAGCCTGAGCTCGTCTCTATTGTCATCACTTTTACTGGTTATTGATTTCTGATTTCCCTCTAATGTTTCAGCTCTAAGTTTCTGTTCAAGTTTGCATATTTTTGTTGTTTCATTTCCTTCTGTAAAGCAATTATCTCACGTGTTCATATGACCTCTTCACTGTGTGTTGGGCTAGTTGTCCAAATAAAAGAAAATATCAAATTAAATGGTGGGAAAATTACAGAATAATAAAAAACAGTCCTTAACTCTCACTGTCTTGTTTCTGCCAGCTGCCTGGTTGAACGTCAGGATGAGTCTCAGGTCATCAATCAGGACCATAACTCCTCCTGACCTCCTCCTGTTGTTGCTACAACCTCCATAAAACTGCAGCCTACAGGCTACATTCATCCACTAAAACCCAGCTAAGGAAGCGTGGGCTCTGTATTGGCTGTTTCAAAGGACGAACAATTAATCTCCATCTGTCTATACTTTTACAAAGAGAATACAAAGTCATTATTTAACATTTTAAGACAAAGACACTTTGACTTTCCTTGTTGTTGAAGGTGATATATAAATAAAATCCAGATTCTGATCCCAGTCCATTTAATGAAGCTGTAAATTCGCAGAATTTCATAACTTTGAGTTGGTTGGAAATGTTTTAGAAAGTAGAAACCACCTCTTTCCAGGAAGTAAAATTAACTTATTGAGCAAACTACTATGAGAAAATCTTCTTACTAGCCTTTTTTTTTTTTTTTAACAAATGAACGGATTGGATTTTTTTTATACAAATATAAGAAATGTTTGTTATCTATGGGAGTCTCCTTTATTCTGCAGGTTTTACATACAAATTTACTAAAGTCTGCAATCATGCTAGCAAATACGTAAGTTTATACTTAACCCCTTGACGCCGATTGTCGCAAATTCGCATCATAACTCTTCCTTACATACTGCAAGCCAAGATAGCACATGGATTCCCCCGATGCCTGATGGTGCATACTCGATACGAACCTAGGAACCTTTTGCAAGCCCTGGTTTCTCGTTTATGCCTGTTGTCGCTAATTTGCATCATACCTACACATACCTGAATTTATCTTTTCCATGTTCTATAGACAAATTAACAATCTTCACTTAATTTAACGTCAGCTTGAAAGCAAATGAAAACACAAATAATAAAAAAAAAATGTTATTGTAAAAAAATGTTCAGGCGTTAAGGGGTTAAACAGAGTGTTGTGCTAAAGGGTTGCGTCACAAGACGGCAAGTTGTGTAGTGTGAACGGCACGGCACGCTGAGAGCCGTGTAGTCTGCAGGAGCCTTAACACGCCAACATGCTGGCATTCTACACAAAACTTCTTCTCCACTCCTACAGTCAGAAAAGCAACAGGAAAGAGAGCATTTCTGTTTAAGGCTCCTCCAGACTGGAATAATTTACCTTCACGATCCTCAACATCATTTCACATATTTAAAAATGGTTTGTCTTCTTATTTTGAGTTCATGTTTCAGATGATGATGATGTCTATATGTGATATATATGTAAACAATTCACTATATATTCAAATTTCTTTGTTCTCTATTATGTTTTTGCTTTACAAGTATTTGTTCAAGTGGTCGTATTCACCAATGTACCCATCTTTTTGATCATCTTTGTGTGTTGGTCTTCGTCTTTGTTTTGGTCTTTCCTGTAATTGCAATGTTTTTAATTCGTTACTTGTTTTTATTTTTGTTTGTTAGGACCCCCTCGAAATCAAGATGCTTCATCTCAAGGGGTTTATCCTATTTAATCATCATCATCATGCTCTCAATGACACTGATGACATGCTGATGTTTAGCATCTTTAATCTTTACCACCGTGTTAGCATGCTAACATTTGTAAACTGGCCTTAAACCATGAGTAATAGACAACCGAAGTCAGTAGGATTCATCCTGTGGGGAACGTCAATGTCTGTAAGATTTCATTGCATTTCTAAACATAATCAATCGTCACACAGAATGTGTTGATCAGCAGAACGTGTTTCCTCATTCTTATCTACAGTTAATGATTTCATCTGATGGTTGAAGTGCCTATCAGGCAGGTTAGGACGCGGCTCGTTAGTCGTCTGGCAGTGGGTGGTTACCTGGTGGCAGGTACTGGCAGTAGCCGGTGGAGTTGACCAGGATGTTGGTGTGAAAGGAGGCGTCGAACCTTTCATCAGCACTGTGGAGAGAGGAAGTCAGTGGAACACGAGGTCACACAGGGGTTAGAGTAAATCATGGTTACATCAAGGCTACAGCTCCTCACACACACAGTTGTCCTTTTACACTTGTGAGGGCCCTCGTAGACATAACCCATGATCTATAGCCTCCAACCTCATCTAAACCCATTTCTAACCCTAGAAAACCCAGTTTTAACCCTCAAACAGAACTCTGAAGTGCAGAGGACCAGACAAAACGCTCAGGTTCCTAAAATGTCGGCGCTTTTACCAAATGTCCTCACTTTTTAATAATTCCTTTACTTTCTAAAACTCAAATATGTCCGTGCAAAGACCACAGCACAAGTGCACAGACAGGATACACCATACACAAAACATCACGACCTAGTGAAAACCTCGCAGATACAAAAAGGGTGAAACCAAGAAAAACAGTATCATTATCTGAACATTTGAAATCTCAAACACTTCCACCAGTCTTAATATCTTTTCTTGTTCGTTGTTGAAACCAGCGGGGAACAGAAAAAAGGCAGGCAGGTAGGTAGGCCAGCCAATCAGAACGCAGAGGCTTCCTGCCACACAGAGATACAATCATCAGTCAGACGGTTTTGTTCAATATAAATGTCTGATCTCCTCCCACCAGATTTCAGATTCCAGCAAATGGACTGATCCCTGCAGTGTTCTCTGCCTTTAATGCTGTGTGTGTGGAGAACAGCTGGCCTGCTGTTTACTGCATTACTAAACCATGAATGTGATGTTCACCATCGTAGTGAGGGCAGCCCGTCCACCTCATCACACCCGGTCACGTAAACAAATACTTTTTTAATATTTCAAGAGAGGGAATAAATCCTTTTCATCTTTCTCCAAAAAGCACATCACGTTTGGATGTTTTCTGTTGCAGCTTTACCTTAGTACAACAAAATGTCATGTTTTTGGTCTGATATTGAAGCAGACTGCGTAAATACAACCTGGATGTTTTCTGTCGGTAATGTAAGTCAAACCAACATGCCTTCATCTTAACTTCTCAACGTCTTAAAATAACGTAATCCTTGGGTGCAACTGAGCCCTTTAAAAGAACGTCCAATAAAAGTGCTTGTTCTGCCACTGACAGGCTCAGAGTCTTACTCCGAGGATCAAAGGACCCTGCTCAGACAGACCGTTTTGTTTAACCAGAAACAGAAATCTTGCTCTGAATTCTCACAAGAGGTGAGTTTTTGCAGGAAGACAAGTCAGTAAGTCGTCGTACGCTTTAACAAAAAGGTTCATCTCTGTGGGGGATCCTAAAGCTAGTGCCCAAGTTTAAAAATACCAGAATTATCCCTTAAGGCTCGGGTTTAATTTACAGGTCCATCTACATTTGGACTCTCAGCTATTGTCCTGAGCTTTGGGATGAAGCTCGGAATAGAAAGACTTTTCCTTCGTGGTAAAAGAAGCCACTAGAGATGGTTCAGACATCTGACAAAATAACACTTAGCTGCCTTCTTCTGGAGGTTTTCTAGGTAGATCAGACTGGCACGAGAACATATCCCTCCCGGTCTAGGAGCTAGAGCTGGACCAATCAGCCAGGAAGATAGATCGGCAGATATCAGAGTCTCTCAGATTGTCCTGACTATAAATGTCTGCCAGTAAGCAACAACAAACTGCATTCCAGAAAGCCAAACTAGTTTAGAAGTATTTTAAGGTGCTGTTAGTTCATTCAGTTTGGACCAAGGGGAAAGAAAATATAGGGCCGGGGCCGGTGTAACGTAAATTATATTTACATAACTGTAAATTTTTTTTTTTTAAATGGGCCAACGATGGGCCCATAACGCATGGACAGCGGCCCAATGGGTAATTTTCTATACTGACACTGGGCCGGTCCAATCACATCTCTTAGAAATAAGCGATACGTTTGCTACCAGGGCTGCAGGAGCTTCAACATCAGCTGCAGCAGAGCAGACAGAGGGACCAGAAGGAGTACAGGAGAGCCGTGGCCCCTGCCAGGCAGAGGAGGAGGCGTGAGTTAGACAAAGAGACAGGGTCGAGGGAGAGAGAGCAGGAGGCGAGCATGGAGTGGCTCCACCTGCAGGGAGGGAGGGTCATTTACACCGGGGACGCTGGGGACGTGCAGCCACCACTTTTTGAAAGCATTTGTTAAAGATGTTCTGAAAAATAGCACCAAGAAATGTTAAGTAACAAATAAAAAGGCTGTGAAAAAGGTTTATTTGCACAAAAAGCCTGCAATGCAACGTAAATATAGAAGAAAACTCTGTGTTGTCCATAAAAAGTAACTTAAGTTAAAAACAATAATAAGCTACTGAGAACTGCACAATATTCTATTATATTTTTATATTTATTCTTCCCTGGTTCAGAAAATATCTCCAGAATGCAGGAAATTAAGTGTTTAATGCTCAAAATCTTCTCGGGAGGACCTTTTTTCTCCTAAATAGTCGGCCTATTAAAATATATTCTTGTCTTGTTGTCATGACTTCAATCTTGTGCAATGTTACGTGTTTCGTCACACCGCCTGGGCTAAAAATGCCAGGGCCGAGTTTTTGTCCCAGTCCAGGCTGCATTGTTGGATTTAAGTTCTGGTCCAGTTGTTGTTCACACTGAGGTTTTACAAACGAACCAAGAAAAGTAACCATTAGGTTATTTAGACCGATTGGAAATCATATTCCAGTGACTGACACTGCAGCACTTTAATGCTTCTGATGTGTATCGCAAAGAGCTCACGAAGAAATAACTCATTATAGGCATCATCGGTAAAATTAGACCACAAGTTATGAATAATGATGTAGAAACAGGACAAAACGGAGGCGTCTTGTACAGTAATGATTCCGGCTTATGTCACAGAGCACTGGCACGTTTCTAACAGCGTTTGACGTGTTAATCAGATATTTAGCTGACACGTATACGTGGTCACAATATGATTTGCGTAAATATAGCCTGGCTGATACAGATCAATTATGAGATCGCTGAACACATTTCCCGATCAGCAGATGGATTTATTAGTGGTTTAGTTTTTGAAATAATGCCCAGATCACGTCTCTGCTATCAGTAAATCCTTTGGTTGGTTCGTTTGCTTTCACATCACTAGCGAACCGCACCAGTGACCACTTCTGGTGCACACTCCAGTGTGTTTCACACCCGAGTGGCCAAACAAACCGCACCAAAGGGGAAAACGAACTCTGGCGTGAGTCAGCCAAACTAAATGAGGCAGGTGTGGAAACACCATCAGAAACAGTTTGTGCACCACAAAGCTCTGACAAGTTGATTTTTTAAAAATGTCCCGCTCAGCATTTATCTCGGTCACAAAAAAAACAAAAAACACAGACAAAACAAAACCGAGAGATCTGTGTCAAGACTGTTAATCTGCCACGTTATCGTTTGCAAATGTTTTCAACTAACAAATATTGATAAGCATAACGATCTGTTGTTGGGTTCTGCAAGGAAGGGAGACCTGGGTTCAATTCCACCGTGAGACATCCACCATTGTGTCCCTGAGCAAGACACTTAACCCTTCGTTGCTCCAGAGGCGTGCGACCTCTGACATGTATAGCAGCTGTAAGTCGCTTTGGATAAAAGCGTCGGCTAAATGAATAAATGTAATGTAAAGGAACGCTTCACAGAAAAGCAGGAGGACATGCCTGGAAATAAAGGAGCTCAGGGTTACTTGGCTTGGCCTTCCTCCAACATGTTAATGACACGAGCATCGCTTTTCCTTTGTATCGTCCTAAAACGCGTGCTTTCTTCAGGACATGTACGACCTGGACTTAAAGGCTGGAGGAGTCTGTAGAAGTTTGCTATAAAAAGCTGACCCCCTGCCAGATAATAACTGGAACTCAGGCTCTGGTCCTGTTCATTGGCCCCCTTCATTAAAGCCAGCCAGCTCAATATTCCTTCTGCCCCAACCCGCCCACCCCACCAGGATCAAACTTTGCTCCTGAGTGCTGCTCGGTTAATGAGCTGCAGCGCTCGTCAGCGGGCAGCCTCCCACAGCCGGCAGCCCTGATGTGCGTGTTAACAGTAATCCTGACAGGGAGGGAACCTATCTTTAGCGCCGATAGCAGGAGGGAATTAGCTGAATTAGCTTGTTTACTGAATCAGAGCAGAGGGATGAAGACAAACCGTGAACTGAGTGAGCTGGCCTCGTTCAGGGCGTCTCGCCGTGAACTAAAACATCCTCAATCCACCACAGACAAATAGATCCTGTTCTTTCCCTCTACTTTGCGGGCCCCTCGCCAAGGGGGGGAGGCAATGTGCTCATATTGAACTCAATAAGTGACTTCAAAAAACGTTTGCTATGTTTAGGTTATCATGATCGGTTGATTTTCAGAGTGTGTTATTCGTTCAGGCAGATAAGAACATGTGCAACAAAGCGGTCAGTTAACACTCAATGATGTTGAGTCGGCCGACTCCTCCAGATATCTGGCAGACGTCGGCGATGTGTCAGAAATGTGTCCGTGAGTAGTTCACACATAACGACCGCCAGACCTTGGACCTTGTTCTAATCTATTATTCTACTGGGATACGTTTTTGTAAGATTTTGTTGCTTCGTCTTTTGTTTTTTACGGTTGTTTTTCAGAAATGTTAAAATTTTACTCAGATTAAATGTTAAATGTTCCAATATTCAGATGGAAATCACACTGTTCAGTTTAAGTCCTGCTCCTACAAATTCAGATCCCAGCTCGGAGTCGCGGCTGCGGTGAGGTCGCGTACCTGTTGTACAGCAGGATGTCGGGCCTCCAGATCTGGCTGTCGGGGAATCTAACGTTGGCCACTCCTGGATAGTCGGACACGTTCCACTGCAGGTAGAAATCTGTCCAGTACTGCAAACGCACAAACACACAGATATTAATGCAAAAATTATACTAGTTTTAGTCTCATATCCACATAGAAAGGTTGTTGGGGTTCATTTTAAAGCGATCTGGTCTCCTGTTTAGAGTAGTGGAGAACGATTTGGGATCAGCCTGCTGATGTAACAGGATAAACTGAACAAGCGTGACTTTATGCAAAAGAGCATGAAAATGCAATCACGGACCACAGCTGGAGGCCCTCTGATCACAGCTGCTGAAAACACCCAACAAATACAAAAACTATATATAATAAAATAACTTAGTGAATTAATCCTAAATTAAATCAATCCATCGATCAATTCAATTCAATTTTATTTATATAGCGCCAAATCACAACAACAGTTATCTCACAGCGCTTTTCATAAAAGAGCAGGTCTAGACCGAACTCTATGATGCTATTTACAGAAGCCCAACAGTTCCCACCAAGAGCAGCACTAGGAGACAGAGGCAAGGAAAACTTCCTTTAAGAGGCAGAAACCTCGAGCAGAACCATGACTCAGGGTGGGCGACCATCTGCCTCGACCGGTTGGGGTGAGAGAGAGAGAGAGAGAGAGAAGAGAGAGAGAGAGAGAGAGAGAGAGAGAGAGAGAGAGAGAGAGAGAGAGAGAGCGGGATGTAAGGAGAGAGAGAGAGAGAGAGAGAGAGAGAGAGAGAGAGAGAGGCAGCCTACACAATATACACACAGTGAAGGTGATGTTGCTATAGACTAAATGAAAAATAGTACAGATTTTTATAGTAGTGTTAATGGTAACAGTCGTAATGTTAATGATTATAATAACAATAAGACTAGCAACAATAGTCGTTGCAGCAGAGGGTGTCGAGCAGGAACACGGGGGCAGCAGGTGACCCGCAACCACAGATCCAGACTCCACAGCTCCAGAGCCAGAAAACCTGCAGGAAGTGATAGGAGAGAGGAGAGGGACGAGAAAGCACAAGACTACCAGAAAGGGGAGAAGTTGTGTTAGTAACATGCAATAATGGGATGAGGTTGCATACAGAGGGAGAGAAAGTAGAGGAGAGAGGAGCTCAGTGCATCATGGGAAATCCTTAACTTACTGATCATCGATTAACCGATTAAAAAACCAAACGCGGCACTGAGAAGAGGTGAACGCTTTACTACTGGTCACAGCGCTCTTTGCTCTGGGCTACATCCGTATGTATAATCGCAGTAAAATGGCATGAAGAGGAAAGCAACACAAACTTATTATAAACTATAACTTAACTATATTTTCCACAGTGACAAAACATCTGCCTTCTCGGTGTGAAGTCCAACATGTCTGTTAATGTGAACTTGCTATTAAAATGCCAGTTTAGTGACTTTTTTGATTGCATGGGCATCTTTATATGTCTGACTTCTGTAGGCTATCAGCGCCTTATAATATGCAGCATTAACATTAATATTCCCCATTTCATTGGTGTGTATTGTGTGTTTCTGTGTTGCACCTGCCTAATGTTGTAGTAGAAATGACTTCTCTCCTCACTAACAATTTCACTGCTTGCTTATAAACAATTAAAAAACTTTTGTTTATCTTCCGTTCTGTTTTAGGGTGAGTTCTCTTCAGACTTGTGGCTAATTAAGTATGTTGGGAAACAGAAAGATAGAAATTAGGTCTCCATAAACAGTGTGAGAAGCGATGACTTGGGTGTTTCTCGTCTGAAGCCAGCTGATAAGCAGCAGCTCGTCTGTGCTTGACCTCCATATTTCAGCGGGTGAAATCTAGATTACGCTGACGGATCTTATGTAACGGCCATTGTTAGTGCCGTGTGTTGTTCTGAAGCTGTGAGGGAGATGAGTGTGCCGCCAAGAAACATCAGGACTGTGTTGTGCTGTCTAATTTGCACACGCAGCTCTTGTGGCCGGCTCGGTCCTCATTACATTTCAGAGGCTCTCTGAGCTCTTTGGTCTGTGTTGATGGTTCGGGCTGTTGAAGGCTGAAGGTCGATTGTGTCTCTCAGTCTTGTTTACTTCCTGTTGCTGAGCTGAAATGTTTTCCCCAGAGGAATTTGTTGAAAGCAGAACTGTCGCAGCGGCTGCAAAGACAAGGCTCTAAAGTTCACGTCCGAACATCCAAACCACACATCAGATGACTTCTGGGGTACAAACTTCTAAGAAATGTTCTCTAAAATGCATTTGATCTTTTGAGTTTAAGTTTTTATTAAATTAAGTGACATAAAGAACCATAAAATTAGTTTTTAATGTAGTCGTGTCGCTTTCATCTCTGGCAGTGTGTTTACACGCAGGCTAAAAATTCAGCTTCCACCCAATTAAAGCAATACCATCACTTTTTAAAGCGTCACATGAAAACATCTCAGTCAGAGTTCACGAGCCGCCGCAGTGACCCGGACAAGTGAGGATGCACCAGACAATTATGACGTGCAAAACTGGTTAGAAACGTTTCACCATTTACCTTTAAATCGTTGCTGAACGTGGTGATAATGACCTGTAATCAGACTATTTGTTTGCACGAAAATATTTCCACTGAACCATCTTAATTCAACATTTAGACTTTTGTGGACTTTTATGGAAAAGGTTCAGTTTGAATTCAGCTGTTGTAAAACATCGACTAAATTCTTGTTTGCTCTTAATTGAACAGCTTTGTACTTTTTTGCAACAGTAGCCATGTTTCCATCCAATTTTAAGCGTATTTTTGAAATGTGGCAAAAAAGAAAAAAAAGAGAGAAATTGTGAAATCTGTGCGTTTCCATCAGCTGGTTTGGAGCGAATAAACCAGGCTACGGCGAGCGTCGTTACGTCAGTAGTTGACGTTACTCACGGCTGTAATAAACAAGACGTCTGAGTTCCAAACCAGAAACAAAACCAGTTGCATGAACCTGAGGGCCACTGATCTGAGAAAAAACAGAGAGAGGTCCAAACTGCTACCAGCCATGTCTCTGCACCTTATACCTTATACCATCAATGGTGATAAATGATTCTAAGTATTTATTTTATGAACGTTTAGAATATTTTACACTGAGCAGAAGCAGCGTTCACTGAGATTCAGCAGCAACATGCGGTGAGAACCTGTCTGATCAGCGTGCAGAGCAAAGGATCTGAGAAGGACCTTTAAGAGGTGAACGCATCATTCAGCAGAACAGCTGATGAAGGCTTCCTGCCCAGATCTGCATCCACCTCTTTCCTCAGTACCAACGAGCGTCACCGGCCGCGAGCTGCGGGACAGCAGAAACAGCTGATCAGACGAGAGTTATGAGTTCGCTACGTCAGAACTTACTCGGAAAAAGTGTTTCCATCTCCCGTTTAGAGCATTTACTCTTTTTCCACAAAAACCACCTCAAGCGAGCGTAAAAACTTTATTTTTTCGAAATTCGAGTTTCCATCAACCTTTTCTATATCTTATGTGTATATATGTGTATATGAATGAATGAATGAAGCTTTATTATTGTGTCATGCGTATGATTACGCCCAGCCCGCATGACAAGACACCAACATTAAAATATAGAAATAAAATCAAATTAATATAAAGATAGCCAGAGTACATCATATACATTGCTAACCAAATAGAGACAAGAATTAGAAACGGAATAATAATAATAGTAATATATATTCAATACATGCATGTATATATTCATTCACAGATGTATTCGCATTTACTCAAATAACCACCCATCTAAGCCCATAATCCTACACTGGACAAAATTAAATCTAATTAAACAAACTAGCTTGCCTTCTTTTCCAGGCCTTTGATACAAAGTTTGCAAACTTAAATACATCCTAGTTAAACAAGCATACTAATTTTTGATCATCAGCACACCAAAATATTTCAGAGATTTGTCGTGTAACTTCCAGAAACAAAGATTCTCTTAGATCATCATAATGTATTTATTTGTTTATGTCTTTGACTATTGATTGTTGTTGTTCATTGTCACCAATGTGGTTAACTTCTGTCTGCAAACCCACATATCCTTCCAGCTGATAATAAAGTTAAGATGACAACTAACAGAAAGCTTTAGTCATTAAACGACATCACAAGCTTCCAGTTCAAACAGCAACAACAGCAACCAGGACTCCGAAGTGAAGAAACTCAGCTTTCTGAAGATGAGAAACTGTTTACATGTATTTTTAACGAGCAGGTGAGGCTTTACTGCGCTCTCTTGTCTCGTGTCGAAAAAGCTTCAAAGGCTCAAAGAGTCCGAAAAAGGAAGAGAGCAAAGAAACCTGCACGCTGTAAAGGAAAGCGTCTGACTGACGCAATAAGATACGCTTCAAAAAGATTCAAAAGGGAAGAAAAATGCACAAAAAGTCAGGACATCCCAGCCATTCACACACCGCTCCGTCGTGAGCAGCGTTGGTGTTGAAGCGCTTTGAGATAAAACATCATCATTAGACGTATTTTGGGCTTGTCCTGTGGTTTTGGTTTGATGCTGTATTTTCTAATAGGATTATCCTCACTGACAGAGAAACTGGCTATTTTTGGATCTCTGAGGACATTTTTGATTCTTCCTTTTCAACAAGATTAAACATGTAAAGACTTGCTGTCGGCCCCCGAGAGACACAATACAAGACAGTCAGAGGAGCCAACAGCATCGGGATTCAGTTTTTTCAGAGACTTACTAGGAGCTAAAACTTCATAGTTTGCCTTTATGTTGGTGCTCGGACAAATGTGGTTGGATCATTCAAATCAGGTGCTACAAGAAAGTTCACTCCATCCTCTGGGGGATGGAGTGAACTGGAGCAGGACTTGCTAGAAATGCTAGACGAATGTGTCTTTTGTCATTATGATGAGAAAGAATAAAACCTGCTGATAATGTAAGATACATTCATCTGTTGTTGTTGGGGTGGTGATGGCGCAGTGAGAGACCCGGGTTCAACTCCCAACTCTGACACGTCCACCAATGTGTCCCTGAGCAAGACACTTAACCCCTCGTTGCTCCAGAGGCGTGCGATGAATGAATAAATGGAAATGTTGTTGCTGTGATGCCACAACAATAAACTGGATAAATGTTTTGTTTTATTA